AGACTGAGGTCCGATTTAATGGTATCCACATAAGCAGAGGGATTCCCGCAAAACTTGTCACCATGGTTACCAGGAGACCTTGTCTCTTGGAAACCAATCATAATGCAGCCCTCTTGGTCTGCACAGTATTTTCTAGCATTAAATCACATTTCCCGAATTACAACATAAAATAATAATAGCATATGTGATTTGATTTTACATAGACCAGTATAATGGTGGGACAGTGGTCTGGTTTGTTTGTTTGTTAACACAGCACTCAGCAATAATCCAGCTATATGACGTCAGTGACTGATATCACGAACATCGATCCTCACAATTGGGACACCATGACATGCATCAGACCATCAGTGCAGAAGACCAATTCTAACCTTGACCTTCACGGGTCTAGTGGTCTGGCATCATGAAAGACAGGTCACAATGACCCTCTTAAAACAAGCAGATGTTACTTTGACATCAGCAGGTAAAGAGAACAAAAACTTTTTTCTATGGAGAAGAACATGTGAGTGACCTTAAATGATTTAACATTTTTTTTCAAGAATGGGCTGTACCCCCCCAAAAAACAAATGTAGTATGTTGCAGGCAGTAGAATTATCTATTTGAGGGGATTTTGATTTGTTGGATCCTGCCCTTTTAAAAATGCTGGATCGGCCATTGATGATGACTGTATGATTGTTTTGTTTCTTCAGGCACAGTAATGATACTACTGAAAGTAGGAGTGTCATGTATCGATACAAATCACGATACTTAAGCCACCAGATGATACATACTATGATGCTTAATTTGCATCATTTGTGTAAAACATTCTCCATGTTCCATGTGCAATCAACCAGTTTGTGCTAACTTGCATTACTAGTAAGTTAGATATGTTCTGATAATTTCAGCAATCAAATTAGCATTTTGTTTGAGTGAGTGAGTGAGTGAGTGAGTGTGGTTTTACGCCGCTTTTAGCAATATTACAGCAATATCACGGCGGGGGACACCGGAAAATGGGCTTCGCACATTGGGGAATCGAACCCGGGTCTCTGGCGTGACAAGTCAACGCTTTAACCACTAGGCTACCCCACCGCCCACATTTTGTTTGAAGATAAGGCCACACTCCTTATTTTACAAGCATAATGGACTGTAAATTTTGTTGAAATGGAAAAAGTATATATATCAGAATTTGCTCTTTTTTTCTGTCATTAAGCTGATAGCATATTTGCATCAAATTATTTTTTTCTAAACAAGGACCCACTGCAGCTGACTTAGACTTAACCAGGGAGTCAAAATAAAGCTTGTTCTTGCTCTTGAAAATAATAGAATGCATAGATGCACGACAGTATTCCCGCTTGATTCGTCAGGTTTGCATTGCTTAAAGCAACAGCTGTGGTGCAGGCTCTCCTACCACATTAAATAATTTTATATACCAGCTGACCTGTAGTTGAGCAGACAACAGAAAATATTGAATTACTTTTTCCCCCCCCCCACCTACTGACAGGTATTTTCCTGTGAAAATTCTGGAAAGAAAGTGTGGCCTAAGTTGTAAGGAGTTAGTTATTATGCTGGGTCATAAAAAACCTTTGAAAACATTTCTTTATAAAAATTAATACATAATCAAAACATGAATTGATATATGGGTAAGCATATTATGTATCAGACTGCAGTGTAAATTTGAGATGCATCCATGAATCTTGAAACCATTAACAAAAAAACAATTATCAAGTAATGACTGTCAGTGTTTCAATTTTTTTCAACCATAAACATGATAAAATAAATGTATAAAAAACCTGGCAACTTGAGAGTTTGATTGAGGCAGGATGCATAGAATATCAACGCATCTAAAAATGCTACATGCTTTTGTTTTGTTTGTTTGTTTGTTGTTTAACGCCGCACTCAGCAATATTCCAGCGATACGACGGCGGTCTGTAAATAATCGAGTCTGGACCAGACAATCCAGTGATTGACATCATGAGCATCGATCCATGGGATTGGGATATGCTGACGTGCCTCAACCAAGCCAGCGAGCCTGCCTCAGCAAGATGAAGCCAACATGGTCCAGAATTAAGACCCAAGTCTCCGTGTTCCCTTAGCTAAAAAAAACTATTTGCTAAGAAAACATGACATATTAGTACCACCAGAAATCCACTTCTTGCAGAGGCTCTGACACTTTAGCTGAACTCAAGTTTAACGGCAAGGTAGAACAGGGGGGACAACTCATCTTCACATGCAAGGGAAACAGTGGTGTCTCTGAATGCATTTTGACTCAGATGATACTAAGGAAAAAAGACAAAATATGGATTGTATGGCATATTTGCATTGAAACTTCATTTTTTTCTACTCAATGGAACCCAACTTCCAGGTAAAAAAATATTATTTCATAAGGTCACAATCCAATTTAAAATACACTGTCTGGACATAATGAATATTTGGAATACAAAGGATATACATTTAATAGTTCTTTGTTGTGCAGTGTTTTGGAACAATAACCTTAGCAAGTTATAGAAATTGGCGGCACATCTCCCGTTTACGTTTGTCATAAGCAATAAACAGTCGTAAAATGGGAATTAAATCACTATTTCTATTTCTTTCGTATAAAACTCAATTTCTTTGATGACTAATCATGCCAATAGTCTGATTCTTGGCTACACTGCTTCATATTGTTAAAAGATTTGTCCTACATACAGCAGACATACTAAACAACAATGAAAAGCTCTGGGTGCCATAATGTGGAGATTCAGTTTCATGTCTCTAAGTGTTTTTGATTACCATTGTGATGATTCATTGAATCATTCACTGAATCCCCTGAGAAAGACATAACCAAATTGGCAAAGATTCACCCAAGTCAAATATCAGGACATCACTAAAATTGTAAAAGAAAACATAATTCTCTTTTCACAACCAAAATCTCCTCTATCTCGAGTCAATAAACATCACACAATAACATATTTGTAAATATTCTGTTAATACAGTATGTTGATATCAGTTTGAGAGCTGTCTGAGTAATTCCCAAACACATCAATTGTACTAAGGACATACAAATTACACAATGCAAAACTGAAGCTATTGCTAACTTGAATTTTGATAGATTTCGTTGATCAGTAATACAACACAAAAACTTAACATCTGTCATGTTAACACCCATCATGCTCATGGTTAAGGATCTTAATAATATTAGACCAAACAATAAAAGTGTGTTTCCGGTTTCATGTCCGACTGTAAACCTTTCTTGAGTTACACCATGTACACCATTGCTTTAATCACCATCCCAGTACTGTCTGCATGTTTGTTTGTTTGTTTTTTGCTAAACTCCACACCCAGAAATATTCCGGCTACATGACAGCGATCTGTAAATAAATCAAGTCTGGACTAAACAATCCAGTGATTGATGTCATGAGCATTGTTCCATGCAGTTGGGATAGGATGACATGCATCAACCAAGTCAGCGAGCCTGACCACCTTAAACATAGTCGCCTTTTACGGTAAGCATGGGTTGCTGAAGACCTATTCTAACCCTGATCTTCACCGGTACGGCACTGTCTGAATTTTATTTCACTGGCGTAAATATGGTAAACTTGTTGCACTTCACCAAAAATAAAACTAGTATTGCCGAAATGATTTTCATTTGAAAGCAGGTGTTTACTGACGTACTACACATTTTTGTTAGAAAATCCCTGAAACCGACCTACCCACTCTATTTTTGGATGGGCTAAAGTAGGAAACACACACATTTATTATTTTGGCCGCATCAAGGGAACAAGTGCTGACCAATCTCAAAAGGGTGCCAAGATTCAACTCAATATTGACTTAAGCCTCGCTTTCCACAACAAAGGCTGAGATGTTTCTTATAACAAAATCGAAGCACTGCCTGTACAACTTTGTGGAAAACGGATTTCAACATGTAAAACATGTCAAGAACTTTCAGATTTTGTCTTTATCCTAATAACTATTACAAGGCATAACCATGTTAACTATTTAATATAAAAACCATATGTTGTTGTTTTCCTATGCTTTGAAAAGCAAAGTCAGGACAACATCTTTGCTAAATTGTGCCCAGGATGTTAGCATGTTGACAAAATATGCCATGGGCTGATTATACTGCACTAAGTCTTAGTCATGGTGGAGATGAACCGTTAGATTAATGACATGACACGGAGTGTTGTCTTGTGCAGTTGCAATCAATAGTCTATGATTATGAATTTGTTCCATGATGATGATGATGATGATGATGATGATGATGATGATTATGATGGATGTATCTGACCATCTGATCAATACAGTCTGCTTGGTTTTCATTCCACAAAGCAATTTTAGTGCTGACACTGTCATAAGCCAAGTCGAATCCAGGATTACTTAAAGGGAGGGGGGCTGGGGACTATTCCGCTTCATATTGTTGAATTCCAAACTCTTCAGTGCAGTGTCAGAAATAACTGCCTGCCCCCCTGCCCGTGGCTGGTAACTTTTCTGTCGGGCAGCATGAAATTTTCCTCCACCTGCCTGAATGTCTGGCAGAAAAGTTTAGGACTACTTATGTATTCAATTTTATTATAACTCCTAGATTTTATTGACCTAAGATGCAATCTGTCTCTTATTTTTTGCGATTTTTCAATATTTATAAAGTCTGAATGCGAGCAGGTAACTTTGAAGATGGGCAGGCAACATTTATGGGTCATCTCCCCGACTGTCTTGTTGGGTTTTAAAATTATTTCAAACACTGCTTCAGTGGGGGTGGAAGTGTGGTTTACAATGTCTGTGTGATGTTGTTGTCGTTGTCGAAGCAAACATTCAAACAAAGATGGAGTACAGATGACATCTGTTTTCAAAAGTCTAATTCTTTGTTTCACTTTCATGTCACTGGGGTGCATCCCTATGTGTCCAAAACCCCATTAGCTCCCCCTATATCCACCACTGATTATTCTATTCTTAGTATCACTGAGGGTTCTCACAAACCAAGCACCAAAATGGCTTTGTGGAACTGGAAAAATCCAAGGTAGGTTTTTTTAGAATGTAGAAATTCTTATCACTCATTTCCCACCCGTGCCAATCCTGCACAACACACAGAGTTTCTTCCTAATCCGCCACGACATTAACCCAATCATCACAGCCACAGCACAAGTAACAATCATAGAAAAGTGAACTCCATATTGGCTAGTGTTCCTCGAATAAAACTTTTTCCTTGACAACTTCGCCATATACCTGCTGTGATCCTCGGCTGGGAGAGGGGGCTGCACGGGAATGTTCCTCAGTTCCTTAACACGCTGGAATGCCCCTTCTCCTGGTTCACCAAACGTTCCATGGCTGTTCTGAACAATCCATATCCTATCGACTTTTTCATTGTTGCTTGCAGAAAGTACCTCCCAGAATAAGTGACTTGCATTGATAATGTCAAGCTTAGCAAATAGTTCCTTCTCTGTCCCAGGGTATCGGTAGGATGACCATGCTCCCCCAGGTTTGGAAAACCTTTCTTGATGATATTCAGCACCCATTGAACCAATGGTGAGATGAACTGGCCCTTTCGGGTTCTTATAATTATATTCATCAAAAAGTTTTTCTCTATACACTGGCCATGTACGTTCATAGTTATGTTGATGACCAGCTATGTACAGATCTACTCCATAGCGGAAAAGAATATCATCCAATTCTTTCCGAAGAGCTGGCTGTTCTTTGACACATTCCTCCTCCTCCTTGTTACATGATGCATACATTGGCTTATGGCCAAACATGATAATCCAGGGATGTTTCGGTCTCTGCTCCTTATTGTTAATTGTAAGATCATTTTTGAGCCAGGATAACTGGGCATCTTTTAGTTTGTGGTTCTCGGCACAAAGGACTTCAGTGTTAATAACAACAAAGTGAGCATTTCCTAGGTTATAGCTGTACCAGAGTTTCTCGTAAGACATCGGCCACGGTGACCCCGGCATCGAGAACCGGTATCTGTAATGGACATAATCCTGGAACTCCTCCTGGTCTCCGGGACATGTCATGTATGGAACCTGGGCGGCCATTTTCTGAATTCGTTTAAGGTATCTATCACCAATCACACCTTCTCCGCGATGCAAGTCGTTAGCTATATCACCAATATGTATCACAGCTTCATAACCGCCATTCACAGCTTCTTGAACTAAGAAATCTAACGTTTTGGTGGACATTCCCATGTCTGCAAGAATCATCACAGAGTGAATTGAATTCCTTTTAAGAGATGGTACGGTGAAGGAAAGCTGTTCACTGACCCCTCCAGCACCTCTACCCGAGTTGACTCTGTAGAAATACTGTTGACCATCTTTTAAATCGGATAAATAAGCTCGGTGCCAATACTTTGTTCCTTCCTTATTTGCTTCCTCAAATTGAGTAGCCTCTGCCGTAGCTTTCCTCAGATTCGCATCTCTGCCATATTCGATATATGGCTCATCAATCTTTTTCTTTGAGGCCCAGATAATGACCATGTCATTTATTTTCTCGCCAAATGATATATGTATTTGTTCGGGTCTGACCATTTCTATTAGACTCTTTTTAATGCTATTTTTCAGAAGGTGCTGATTTCCATGTCTGTGATTGTGCAACAATGGATGGAGTTTAGTCTCCGCTGAATTCACTTTGGCCACTTTCAAAAGAAGTACCCATGTTAAGGAGAACATTAAAAATGTGGAACACATGTTTTTGTATGCATTGTGAACATATTGATTCATCTGCATGATGAAAACTTGATGATGACAATCCCTTTGGACATTAAGAGAATATGAGAGCCGACTTCTTTTTTTTATGAAACGATTGCATCGAATGACAATGATCTATTTTCATCTACAGTTCCAAGCTGAATGTCAACATGACAAACAAACGAGTGTGGTGATGTGATTTCCCGTATTATTTTGTAAGGGATGTTAAGAATGTTCAGTTGTTTTGAACAAATTTCCGTTCTAACGGTTACGTCACCGTGTATTTTTTTGCCATATCAATGTAGGTACCATATTCCTTCGGTATTTTCTGGCTATGTAATTCCACATTATGAATCGGGATTGGAGTGGTTCCTTAGAACATCGACATTAATGTTTTTCCCCGTGGAGGTCGCCATGTTGAAGTAACGCAGTGAATGTGAAGCCAAATTATGCAAAAATATTATGTTTGCGAGATTCTGACATTTCAGTAATTATCTTTAAAATAAATCTTCCACTGAATATAATTCATATTTCTACGTTTTTATAATTGGTACATTTTAATACCATTTACCTCGGGATTAGGGCACTCGAACAGGAAATGACTGACAAATAGAAAACTGAGTAAAACTAAACATATTTTAGCCTTTTTTGTTATGTCCGAATCAGCAGGCGTTGTCAGTAAACTCACGGACGGGTTTCTCAGTTTTGGAGAATCGTTCATTCCAAGTTCGTATGTGACGTCCTTCAGGGAACTCATCTTGGACAACGAAAACACGATCGCCCTCCAAATTCTGGTGATCCTTGTGGTGTGGTTATTGTTGAATCTGTGCCTAATACGATCAGCTTGGAGCATTTACTCAAGTGACGTGCATAGTATTTTAACAGCTCAAGGTATATGCATTTTAACTTTAACACAAATGTAATTTTACCTCATTTGTTAATTTAGTCCTAGTCACCTAGCCAAGGTGAAACCAGTCAGCTAATTTTGTTATGACTTTTAGAAATTGTTTGGTAAGCCACGAGTGGAGTGCAGTTGGAAATTAATCAACTGATACTAATACCCCACGAGCACGGGTGTGGTGCTGAAAAACCTAGAAACATAAACGGGGAGAACCGGGATTCGGACCCACAATCATATGATATTATGTCCAAGGGATACAACTCTGCATAGCGAATTGCGGCGGCTTATGCCTTGTTCACATGCTCCTCTATACATATGTGTGTATATGTGCATATGTGTGTAGAAATACATACGTGAGTATACTTGTCATGTGAACGCGTTTACTCGTGTGTGTATATTTACACCAGGAGCAGATTTGCATCATGTCTGGAGCAGGTACAAATGCAAATGTAAATTTGCACTGTGTGTATTTGTTGCAATGTTAACGTTTATGTTAACGTAAGAGGATGATCTAATTAACATCTGTTCTTTTGCCAACACCAAACAAATTGTCAATAGTTGCCAACTTTTATGCGTATATACACTGAGTTGAGCGGACAGTGTTTTCTTTTGGTTTCAAGGAGTCAAAACTTTGTGTACAAATTAAATCAAACACATGTTGCTTCACAAGAAAGTTTTCGGTGAAGTCACTCTTTTCACATTCAACTTTGATTGGAAACCAACCTGTTTTGTGTTGAAAGTCGTAAACAGACTGACGAATATGTGTGCCTTACACAATTTACATACTTTATTGACACACCTAAGTTGATTTTCATGTGAACGCATAGTAAATTTACATATATATATATACACATGTATGTATAGTTTCACATGTGCAAAATTACTTAAGTTAGTAATACCCTCTTCAAATGCACAACATTTACTAACTTTAGTAATTTTACACATGTGTAACTAAACACAGTGCAAATTTACATTTACATTTGCACCTGCTCCAGACATGCAAATTTGCTCCTGGTGTAAATATACACACAAGAGTAAACGCGTTGACATCACAAGTTTACTCACATATGTATTTCTACACACCTATGCAAATATGCACACACATGTATAGAGGCGCATGTGAACAGGGTATAAATGTTGTGCATGTGAACGGGGTATAATACACATGGAGACCCGTTCACAAAATGATGAACCCCTCATGTGGCATAATAAAAATCACTCACTGAGTCACTCACTCATCATGCTCATTGGCTGACCCATACACTTGACAATTATTCACTGGCTTATTAATACCCATATCAATATACTTACCACATATGGTTATTTCTAATCTGTCCCATGCTTATAGTATTAGGAATAGTTATTATTGTATGATATACACTAATTATAGTTTTATTTATATTTTTATCCTCGCACGGTTAAACAGGGTAAACATGTTGACGTGATATATCTCTCCTGCCTCTACCATGTCTACTATCTTGTCTTGGGCAGTAACGATGCACCGATGAAAAGGTGTATGCCTTTTATTTGTTTCATAGTACATGTATGGTATTGTGAGGTCATCGTTTGATACAAAAAGGTATATATGCATTTTTAGCTCACCATGCTCACATGACCATTTTTTGATGACTGAAATGTGTTTTCTTTGTCTGATTTTCCATTCATCATTTTTCATTTACTTTTTCATTTTCGATGTTATCTCTAAAACTACAACATGTACAAGGCACATTGTTTACATTATGAAGCTGAAATTGAAACTTTGCATTATTGATCCAAGGTATGGCGTGTTGTAGGGCCTTTCTTTTTGTTCGTTGTTTAGCATCGCACTCAACAATATTCCAGCTATATGGCAGCAGTCTGTTAATAATCGAAACAATCCAGTGATTGATATCATGAGCATCAATCCACACAATTGTGATACGATGACATGCATCAACCAAGTCTGCGAGCTTGATCCCCCGATCCTGTTCGTCACCTCTTATCCATATCCGTCACCTCTTATATTGAAAATGTCGATTGTGCCCACTATTCAGCCCTTTCTGCGTGTATCATTATGAAATAAGATAAGCAGCATAGTGTGCAGCAAGTATGTGGTGTGAGGAATAACACTGAATACATGTTTTGGCATATTTTGAATTTTGATCCAGCTACAACCTTTGACCTTTACATGTCCAAGTTTTTCTAGTGTTATTGCTTGTTTTACACCTGGCTGTGAACTTGAAGTGCAGGCCACTGTCTGATTTAGGTAGCAGCAGTATGCTGACTCAGTGACTTTGAACAATAGCCCGAAGCCCAAGTATAGTAAAATTCTGTCTGGTCTAGTTAACTCAAGAAAATGATGTTTGGGCTTGTAGACTCACAGCAGTTTAACATGGATACCCCTCTCAAACACAGTATACTTATTCCGAACGGACCAGTGCTTGTTTTAGCTGAGCGCCAGACAGGTTATCAACAAGTACCATCTTTTAACGTCTTTTGGTATGATGCGGCCGGGGATCGAACCTCGCACCTCCACTCTCCGGGCAGACTCTCAACCACTAGACTACAGAGACAGTTTCATAGCAGTCTGTAAGCTAGAAGCATGTGACTCTCTGTTTCAAACTTTTATGATATTGTGCATTCGATGACCAGAAATAAATTTTGGAACTGAAGGCATAAGCCAGAACTGTGAAATTTTTCCGCTCATACAAGTAAATGTTTTCTCTAAAAGACATAATCATGATAACCTTAGTTCTCGCTTCCACTAAACCATCACGTATACCATTCAGTATACCATTACGGTACTTTTCATCAGTTCTCAAAGTTTGAATTGAGGCCTTTGTCAAAATATTTTTCAAAGCATGGTATGGAATTGAAGTAGCCAGTTTGAAACGAAAAAGCTGCTTTGTGATTGGCTAATGTTGATTTCTTGTTTGTCATTTCATTGGTCCATCAGAGTTCGCTCAAGATCGTTCTGACGTGACCTGCAATTGGATGTCTTCAGATCTTTGTTTAGCAGTATCAAGAACTAAGATCTGATTTTTAATGAGGTTGTATGAATGTCGACATCTGTGGACTCACTGATTTTACTTGGTTTCAGGCCGCAGTCAGTCAGTTCCAAGAGAAAGAGAACGCAGAGACACAGATAATGGTCATATGAAGAGAGAGTGACACATCTGGAACTGACCTATAAGTAGCATCTGTCCTTGCATTCACAAGCAGTTTGAACAAAAGACTGACAATGGCAGCCATCAAGAGATTCTTCCAGAAGAAGAAGTTAGACGTGAAGTTTAAGAAGGCAGGAGAAGGCCACAAGCTAACAGAGGAGAGACAGGCCGCCCCAAGACCCACTGGGCAGATGTTCGCCTCGGGGTCAAACCGGCCTCAGACCACGGCAGACGCAAAAAGAGCTGGTGAAGCGGCCCTTGCCAGATTTGAGTCAGAGAAGACAACTAAAGGTTGGTTTAATATCAATCATCCACATTTCGGAGGTTTTGTTGAGTGAGCTAGGGATTAAAACTGTGTACATAACTGATATGCAGGTTATTTTTGCTTTGCCCATTCGTCTAAGGTGCTGCAATTTGCTCTGCAGGGTTGTTTCCCTTGCACACACCAGAAACCTATGATTGTGGGTTTGAATCCTTGTTGGCCCTGATTATGTTTCTAGTTTTATCAGCACCATACCTATCTTGTGGGTTTCTCCAAAGTGGTAAACGTCTTAGACCTGCATCATTTTGGGCTTTCTTCCCACATTAATGACATGCTGTGATATAACTAGAATACTGTTAAAAGTGGTGTTAAACCCAACTCACTCACTATCACTCATTCTCTCTTTTTATTACTCACTCACTGTTCCAGATGACCAAAGTTTCCAGCTGGCGCGGGTCCGGATGAAGAAGCAGATGGAGGGTGAGAAGAAGGCCCTTGAAGAGGCCGAGGCCACGGGAGCCTCGTACAGAGAGGAACCCACCCGGGTGGTCCAGGATTCTGCCCCAGTCCTCGCCGACATCCTTTTCAAGTGCCCCGAGATAGGCCCTGTTGTCCTGCCCAAGATGGAGATGGAGGCGTACATCCACGAGTACCTCCTGGGGAGCCTCGCCGAGGAGCCTGAGATGACCTCGGCCCTCATGATCCACACCCTCAACAAAAACAAGGACAAGGTGAAGGTCGGGATTGATACACTCTTGAAGTACATAGACAACATCTTGGCGCACCCGGGGGACGAGAAGTACAGCAAGATCCGGGTCAACAACAAAGCATTCCAGGAGAGGGTGGCCAGTTTGGAAGGAACTCATGAGTTTCTTCAGTCAGCGAGGTTCAATGTTACAGAGCTTCCATTTGAAGACCATGAAGAACAGTTTTATGTCATGTCCACAGAGGATTCCAAAGAAGAAGAAAGACTGAAGAATCTGAAAGATGTTTTGTTAGCTGCCGAGCCTTTAAGGCCTCAGCTTGACCGGGCTTTGAAAGTGTTTCATGCGTCAGGTTCAGCGTCCAAGTTCGTTATTCCTGATGAGTTTTATAACATCACGCCGGAGGAATTGAAGAAAGAACAACAGCGACAGACGGAAGCTGTCGAGAAGCTGGGCATGCTCCGAACGAAAGCGATGCGGGAGAGGGACGAACAGCGGGAACTTCGAAGATACCGTTACGCTTTACTTAGAGTTCGTTTCCCAAACGGAATTATGTTGCAAGGGACTTTTAGGACGGTTGAGAAATTGCAAGCAATTCATGAGTTTATCCGTGAGAATTTGCATGAAGATTGGATGCCTTTCCAGCTTATTACCTCCACTGGGCAGAAGCTGACTGAGGATGCCATGACAATAGCTGAAGCAGGGTTGGCCCCGGCAGCTGTGGTGAACTTTTCGTGGGACCCGACTGTCATGGCAGAGATCGCTGCGCAGAAGGGTAAAACACAGGAGGGGAACTATTTAAAATCTGATGTTATTGTTTTGATACAGTCTTTGTGAGTTTGGTTGAGTGAGTCTCATGCATTCTGGTCACCTCACTAGCTTGAAACACTAATACATCTCTGTTGATAAGGCTTGGCCTGCCTGACTGTGGTTGTGATGTGACACTGGTCAGACAGTCCAGGGTTAGTTCTACCTAGACCCTTGAAGATCCGGACTATGCTTGTCGTAAGAGGCGACTAATGGGATCGGGTGGTCAGGCTCGCTGACTTGGTTGGTGCATGTCATCATATCTCAATTGTGTGGATCGATGCTCATGATGTAAATCAATGGATTGTCTGGTCCAGTCTCGATTATTTACAGACCGCCATCATATAACTGGAATATTGCTGAGTGTGGCATTGAACAACAAACAAAAGCATGCTGGTCACCTCACTAGCTTGAAACACTGATAGGTTCGGCCTGTCTGACTGTGGATGCGATGTGACACTGGTCAGATAGTCTAGGGTTAGTTCTACCTAGGGGGAAGGCTAGTCCAGTAATCTTACACACTGTAAGAAGGATTTTTCTAGACCTGCTCCGAGGCCAATATTTGGCCCCAAGTCTGAAGCGATTGTCCATAAAAATTCCCAAATTGGAATTAACCATTTCCCAAGATGGTATAATTAATGTAATGCTTTGTAGAGGGGACTTGTATTTCACTGAAAACAACTGTTGTTGAAGGAGATTTTGTGCTTATATTTACATTATTGCAATAAATGCAATATGAAAACACTTTGTTAAGATATCACTTAACTAAAACAAATAGAACAATAACAAAATTCCAATTTTCAACAATATGATGCAAGTTTTGCCCTATTTGTTCTGCCAAGGGCAGCTTGTTAAGAATCGTAGATAATTTCCTGCGCAATTGACTACGCAGAGTTGTGTCCCTTTGGCAAGTCAGCAAAATGATTGGGGGTTCAAATCCCATTCTAAATATATTTATAGGTTCCTCAGCACAAATACCCCTCCTTGTGGGTTTATGGCTTTATACATTTTAGGAAAGTAAAGCTTGAGGCTTGTTTGTATACTAAACAAAAAGAGTTAGGGATCATAATTATTTTGGAGGATATTTTTGTGAAATTGCATACTCAATCTTCACTACAAAAAAAATACAATAAAATATTCCTGGCCCCTCACTTTCTTGTTCAGTTTATGAAGCCAGACCAGTTTCTAGATTTAGTTGTTTTCTTGGTCAGAGTGCCAGAAACAGAAAGGCGAAAGAAAAAAAATAAATAATGTGGTCAGGATTGATTTGATATTAATTTCCTGAATGAAATCCTGACAGTTTACAGCAAAAGTGCAAACACAAAATAGTTCATGGGTATTATTTCTATATATAATATATTCTATAATTACATAAAAAGTAGGGTGGTGTTGTCCCTGAAAAAATATAATTGTCGCACAACAGATGATGATGATAACGACGACGATGACGACGATGATGGTGGACAATCAGTTGCTCAGTGAGGTGTGCAAGTTAGTGCATGGTGTTATGTGGTTTGACTGTTACATTGTTATGTGTTATATTTGTTATCAGGTTACCACGGTAACTTAATACTGTAGTATGACTGTAGTAATCATGGTAATGGAATGTATCCAGGATATTCCTTCTTTGACGAGAACCTTAGATGTTCCGGATAAACTTCCTTCTGTTGAGATAGATACCAGCATTAGAACGTACATGTATTTGGTTCGGGGTTCTCACATTTGATCTCACTGTTTGAAACTATTCAGTTTCACAATATGTACAAAGTTTTTAATTTTTGACTGACAAGATCTGCTTGTCATAGTTGAATCCTAGAAACTTACCTGATTTTCTTCATGTTGGTTTGTTAGCACCCAACATCTTCACCGCATCCTCCATTACCAGTGTATTATTGCTCCATTCTCATATGATGAATACCCTAGGGGTAAGAATAGGTCTTCAGCAACCCATGCTTGCCGTAAAAGGCGACTGTGCTTGTCATTAGATGCGACTAATGGGATGGGGTGGTCAGGCCTGCTGCCTTGGTTGATGCATGTCATCATATCCCAATTGTGTGGATCGATGCTCATGATGTCAGTTACTTGTTTGTCTGGTCCAGTCTTGATTTTTTTTTTTTACAAACCGCTGTCATAAAGCTGGAATATTGCTGAGTGTGGCGTTAAAAAACAAACAAACAAACAAAACTTAGCTTCGGTTTGAATCCGGGTCAAATGACACTACACTAAATATAGACATTCAATCAAATTACTCTTTTCGCCAGCACTTAACTCTCATTGTTGAAACCATCTGAAATACATCAAGAAATGCCCGATTGCATTATAACTTCACTTTTTCCATCTTCATACTCAGGAAGAATATTTTGCAGGAAAATGTACATTTATCACAGTCTTCTAGTACAAGGCCGCAATTTGTTTGTAGACCTTTGCTGAACTCTCCTTTAGAAGAATAATTTTTATTGATTGTTGATTTCAAGCTCACAAGGCAGAGAAATATTATGCTAAGATAGTGAGATGGGAATTTTCGTAACAAAACTTTGGTGGTGAATGGCTCCAGCAGGGTATTTATTTGACTAGAATAGAGACATAATTCAGCGGAGGAATCGTGAGGATCTGTTGATTCCGAAAGGGGGAGTTGATCAGGGGTAGAAACTAACATTTGTAGTCCACTAGTGCTTACAATGATAACATATAGTAAGACCCTTAAAAATGGCCAATTTCTACTAGTCCTTATGATACCTTCACTATTGGGCAGTTTGGCAAGGACTACACATCTTCCCAAGGCAAGAGAGTTAACTGACTACAAAAGTCCAGTTTCCACACTTGCCGAACTAGGCTGGTATTATGAAGTTACATTTTTGCTGGGCTAAAGAGTCTGTGCATAGTCCAATCAAAATCGCGCAACGAAATCGAAATTCGGATTGTAAACTGTCGTGCTGATTTCGGTCGATTGCAGGAATTGCAAAGCATGTGCACCGCCTACTCCTTGTCAACAGATATTTTCCAAATCTTTTCATGTTTTTAATCAAGGTGCGTCCACGATTTGATGCACTTCGCATGGTAAGACCCATTTTATCACAATATAGATCTTGATTATCGATCAGATTGTCTTGACTGGGCGCCGCCATTTTGTTTGAATCAAATGCAAGTGATACGAGAGGTGGAATCTGATGGGTCCATAGGAGAGGTTTAGAAGGGATATAACTCGTAATAACCACTGGTGGCGCTACGATCAAGTCAGGAATTCCAGCCTAGTTCGGCAAGGGTGGAAACTGGACTTTTAAAGTCAGTTAACTCTCTTGCCTCGGGAAGATGAGGACTACAGGACTAGTGCCAATTTCTAACACTGTTGATTCTACTTCCGGAATCAACGGATTCAAGTGATTTCCCCCAACTTAAGCCTTGATAGGGTGATATATGATTTCTCTACAAGTCTGCATAGTTGCATCAGTTTTACTTGTTAAAATGCATGTTCAGTGAATTCCTGGCTCAGTATCAACTGAAAGAACAATAGCCTAACGTCATCATAATGGTTTAGGATAATTAAGGACGACCATGCTGTGTTAGGGTGTTCCAACAGTAACCTCTATATAGTGTCCACATGGGTTTCCCTTCCTCACTGAGCTGATATTCAATCATCTGACAGAAATACTGATGTATCCTACCTTGTTCATGTATGAAGAAGTCAAATATCGGCCTCGATTAATCCCGAAACATTGCCATGATATTAAACCAGATAGCTTCTACCTGCCATGGCTTCCAGTGTATTGAGAGTGTGCAGATCCTAGTTAGTGTTGAATGGATGGGAGTGTGTGCTGCAATCTGATTGGCTGAATCATGAGTTACAGATGCTTAGGCAACACAAAACAATGTTTTCCATCCGACCCTAATCTGGAGTCTGCCCGAAACTAGTTTTCCTGTTTTTCTTGAGTTGCACCATAGCTTTTCAGTATATTCTGCATCTAGTGTATATTTTGTGTGTTTCACTGCAGGTTAGCCAGTCATTATCTACAATATCTGCAAATTATCATTTTTAATAAAAAAGTTAAAATGTGGAGAGAAAAAACCCACCCTATTTTGGATCGGCTGAAATAGGAAAAACACACTTATTTTCTAGGTTTTACAGAAACAGTGAGTTATCATCATGGGGGATCAGCCTACTCTGTATGATCATAATTATTATCGTGATTCTATGTATAATTGTGGTGTTAATGAAGCTTCTTCAGTGTGATATATCAGATGCCAGTAATGTTTCCCAGTTCTGTGCTAAGGTCCATAACCATGACTTCAGATCAGCAGCTTGATGCCTTGTGTAAGCCTCAGTCAAGATGACAAAGTTATGCTTTAATGAAATTGGAAAAAAAGGATGATACATCAATATGTTTTCATAAACATGATAAATAGACAGAAAGAAAGTTGCAGCAAGATTAGAGCTTACCAGATTACAGCTTATCACTCTGATTGGCTCCAGCTGTGGCTCCAGCTCCACTGATTTCACGAGCCTCTTTTATTCTTACGATCAGGGCTCTGATCCACAAAGATTGTAGCACAACGACAGTCGTAAGTCTATGTGAAAGTATGGGAGTTACGATCGTCTTAAAGCTACGATAGCTTTGCGGAACAGACCACTGATTTCTTAGGGTAGGTTACCCAAGCTCTATCCTTAGCTCTTGGATCCCATTTTTTAACATGCACCCTGTTACGATTAATAGTGTTCGGCAACCTTTTCCGATCTAGTACGCCTTTGCCTTCCTCAGGATTAATTGTGAATTAGGTCTAGCTATCTCACATCTTGTAACAAATGTTTCTAAAGGTAATATATTTGATCAAGCTTTGCTTTTTGATGGTAAAAGTGATAAGTGGTATGCAGACATGATGGTTTATGCAAATGTTTATGCATGATAAGTGGGCAGGAATCATTCAGTAAACAAGCATAAGTATGTGTGATAGTGGCTGTGGTCCCATGGTAACAATTTGACTAAATTAGTGATTAGCCTTCGCTAGCTTCATGCTTCAAATCTATCCTCCTCTACCCCTGCAGCATTGATTGGAGTCTGAAAACATGAGCCTGTCGACATGGTTAATGTGTGTACTCCCCAAATTGGTTCTTGCTTGTGAATGTGAATGCTTCAGTTGGATTGTGTCTGTGAACTTGTTTTCATATGTTTTCATATATTTATACATGTTTTTTTCTGATTGGTCAATGGTACAATTTATGCTATATATTTACAGAGAAACTTTGTTAACTCGAACTTCATGCATGACCCGATATATATCGTTACTTGATGTAACCATGGCAACCATGCTTATCATGTAATGGATCGGCATGATGGGGTGGCTCAGTGGTTAAAGTGTTCCCTAGCCTGGGTTTGGTTCCCAACTTCGATACGATTTATGAAGCCCATTTCTGGTGCGCCCAACCCTTAATTTGCTTGAATATTGCTTAAACCAAAATAAAACCAATTTCAGTCACTCGCTATCATGTATAGTGTTACGGATGCAATCAACCTATCTGATGAGCAAAGAATCACGGTCTTATAAATATACTGGTGCGGTCACCTAGCAAGAACCATTTTTAATAAGCTCTATACATTAATGCAATGCCTACTTGCTAAGAAACATCTTCCCGAGGCCAGGGCGGTAAGTGGCTATAAAAATCCAGTTTCTACCCTTGCCGATCTAGGCTGGAATTCTGGAGTTACATTTTGGCTTAACTAACGAGTCTATGCATAGTCAAATCAAAATCTCTTGATGAACTAGGTTTGCAAATAACTTGGATTTCAATGTGCGGATTTTAGTCAAATGCAGGATTTACAAAGTTCGAGTACTGCCAACTGGGCGTTGACAGATATTTTGAAAATCTTTTAATGTTTTTTATCAAGGTGCTCAAATGATTTGATGCACTTCATGAGTGAGACCTCTTTTATTACAATATAGATCTTGATTTTCAATCAGATCGTCTTGACTTGGTGCCACCATTTTGTCTGAAGCAAATGCCAATGATGGTGGAATCTGATTGGTCAGTAGGAAGGACATAGAAGGGACATAACTCGAAATAGCAACTGGTGGCGCTAGGATCGATACTGGAAACTCAAGGCTAGTTCGGCAAGGGTGGAAACAGGGCTTTTGGCTAAGAAGCTTTTTTTTCCCATGTTAAGATTTCATAGAGGTATTCATATGTGTGAGTGTTTCTGTGATCAAAATGGCTGCCATTCATTTCAATTTTTAGTGGGACAATAATTTATGGTTACTTTAGTGAATGAAAATATGTCTTAAACTCGATTGTTTTAAGTCTCTAATTATTTCATAAATATGTTAACACCTGAGTGTGTTTCCATACCATGTTACATGTTCATCGATGTTAGGAATAAAACAATATTTATTATGACATAGAGTCACACAATACAGTTTGTATTCCTAATGTTTATATTAATGAAACAAAAACACACTCAGCTAATAATCTGTTGATGGTCCTGACAGAATTGTTATGGAAATTACAATTTGATATCACCTTGTCTTGACTCCCACAACTTGGAATATGTTATATGTTGGGAATGGCCCATGGACTTCGAGATAACAAGTTTTCACTTTATGATCATGATTATAGTTAATTTATTGTTTTTACATACTCATCATTGCAATGTGATGGAAGCTCAACTGAGAGAGAATGATCATTCCTTCACATGGATAATGACAACATTATCATTTAGTCATGTCCGTTTGCTCAGCATCTGTAGCCAGACAACAATCTAGGGCTGACCATTTGACAATTATCTATTATATCTAAACAAAATAATTTGTCCCCGAAAATTGGTTTTGCAGCTGTAGCCGAAAAAATATCTGGTCTCAATACAAAGTCCCAAGTCTGCCTGGAATAACAAATGGTCGGTCCCTAATAGATATAGGATGAGTGACAGGACTTTTTTGTTCTCAAAACTTTCTTTTTATCTTTATTAAACTTCTGTCACGAGTCCTCTGTCTAAGAGCACAGCCAAATACCAGTGTTTGAAATACCTGCCTGCCCGACCGTCCGAGACGGGTTGATTTCAACTCGGGCTGCCAGATTTTCAAATCCCCCTGCCCGACGGTCGGGTTATATTTCATATGTAAAAATATTCTAAATATTTCCCGATGATAAGCATTATTTACATGATGTATTCTAGGATATTAAATACAAATCTGACCTAAAAAGTGTTTGCTATTTCATTTCTTGCATTACTTCATGTTCAATGAATTCGATTTAAAGTTTTAATTAAATTATCCTGAGAAACATATGATTATAGTGGGCGGGCAGGTTTTGGTCAGGGCTGGCAAGTATTTCAGCTAGCCAGTCCTGTGGTCTGGCTGAAAATTTTGGGAGTTTCATACCCTGCAAATACTTGGGTTCCATGGGAAGCATATCTGTGTATTCAGTGAACAGGTGGCACAAACGTTTCTCTTTCGACTCAAACCCGCAACCCACGTGTCTGTGTGATGCTTGCAGCTCGAGTGGCACAGTTTTAGGACATGTATTGGGTGGAGCACATGATGAACACCCATTGGACTAGAGCCTTGAGATGTGACAAATAAACAGAAAAGATATGATCAAGGGCCCTTATAGGTGCACAAGATCTACAACATTTTAAGAAATATGCAATACTTTTAGAAATAATTATGGCAGTTATCAGGTATGTTCAGAGGAATGGAGCTTTACTTTGTCCATCTCAACACATGGTTGTTTTCTACTTTTAACAACGCGCAATCTATATGCAATGTTGCAAATGTGTCACAAAGATTGATTTGGGAAGAGATCAGGAAAGAAAGGAAGAGAAAGTTTTTAAAGATTTGCATAGGAGAAAGTCTTTGAACCAAGGTATTTTTTTAATAGCAGATGGAAATAAAGACTGTACAGACATGTCGTAAAACATCACCTTGGAGCACACAGCCTCTTTCATTCATTTTAGCGATTTTTGTGTACTTGAACATGCCAGAAGTGTAAATGGAGTTTTCAACTATTTGAACATTACTGAGGATTTTGATGTCGTTTTTACAAAGTTTACTGTAATATTAAAAATTGTCACTTCTGGTGATCGAAAAATAATTCTCAATTACCCTTGTCCTTTCTGGGAACACATTCTGAGTATCCGCCTCAACCCTGGAAACACAGTATGTTTATTTCCTACATTTCTTGTGAATGTAACAAGAAAACCACATCCATAATACTCAGAACTGTAGTTGTGATTAAACCTATGATCAACCAAAGCCTAAATGTACTGCTACGAACCAGTGTGACTGTGTAAAGGGAGACAACTCTTCCACTCACCTTTTTGAAGATTCCATATTTCTATTGGTATGTGGTTTTTGTATATTTCAATTGCAAGTTTGTTCTGGCAGGATATGTGTTAAACAGTTTTCTATCGGGATTGTGAAATGATATTCATATGCACTTTGTCCAGTTTATATTTGTTTTTTTTGTTGCATTTGATCCACAGTGATTGCTGGCTCCGGTGTTATCATGTATGTCAATGAAGTTTTCTAGCCCTGGTCAGGGCCGAATAGTGTTCAGGTGTTCGGCTCCAAATCTGCAGCAAATGTCAGTAAAATTCCAAAATGGGACTTAAAAATTGGAAAGACTTCTGCCTGTATCCCTTCCAATAGTTATAAATGTATGCATTGCTGCTCAATCCATTTACAGTATATATATATATAGTCTCTTGAAAATCACATGCGTGAAACCGGTTGAGTAAATTATACAGCTCATCTTTGGACTTTTGTATTATATATATATATATATATATATATATATATATATATATATATTGAGTTGGGATACGGGCGGAAGTCTTACCTAAAACAATTTCCAATTCATTTAAACATAGTTATGACTCATGTGTTGACTCATTCAAGGTGACTTGTATTTTACTGATTAATGACTGCACCAAAAGAGGCTTTGATGCTAATTTTGACATGATTGCACTGAATGCAACATCAAGATACCTCAGGATTTAAGAACTTGAAACAAATCACAGTTTGGAACAATTTTTTTTTTTTCTCAATTGGTCCTGTATGGGGCACTTAGTTTGAGGTCCTAGATAATACCTTCAATGATAACCCTAATATGCAGAGGCAACGTCTTGACTCAGGCACAACTCATTACAACATCTAGACCTTGGCTGTTAACTGTCACAAGACTGGAGTCTTCAAAATAAATTATTAAAAAATATATTATGTGTTATGAAATTGTTTATCAGCATGCAGTAATTGCAATGAGAAACCACTATTTGTTTATCAGCCCCAAGGTGTGAACACAGGGGCAGGTTGTACTCTTGTTGTGCAATATGAGATGGTGGTGGTGTTCTGTGTTACAGATCTGTAGACACCAGAGCTTAGAGGACAACAGGAGAATTGTTGCATGTATGGCTTCCCGGTCGGAGTATCTGGAACTATTACATGCTCCTGGCTCACCATCCTCTGTATCTCCAGGGCTCACATCTTGGTAAACCTATACTAACCCCTGGGTCCATCCCTGAACTTCTTGTGATCTCAAATTACCTCCCCTTGACTTTCATTAACATTTTCAGACCAATCAAATTTGAGAAGGAAAATGAAATGGGTAAGGGAGGTAACTCGTATTGCCTAGAACTAAAACCACCATCCGTTTTAATGAACTAGAAGACATCTTTTCCATCAAGGACATGTTTGAGGGCTCTCTTTTGCCCATCAGTCAGTTTGTCAATGTTGAATTTCTCGCAAAGTCTCAATGAGACAGGCATCTGATTGGTCTGTTAGACTGAGTAGCCCAGCAAATCAAATTGGCTGATGAAAATCAAGGAGAGGTAGCCGGAACCATGGGATGTTATGGATCCAGGGGTCAGTGTAGGTTTTCTGACATGCAAGCCCTTGAGGATGCTATTTCACAGATACATATACATGTGTACTATCAGGAGTTGAAACATTAAATTCTGAAATTGATTTATTTGTTGTGTTATGTATATGAAACTGAAACTGCTTCATGCCATGAAGAACAGACACAGGTGTTGATCGCAGTTATGGCCAAGTTTATTACTGGTCAATTTAACCCTCACAACAATTATAAAACATTCATTAGACAAAAATTTAAATATATGCTGACATCAAATATTTCACTAAATTTGACCATATACAAAATATTATAACTTCTATAAACTTACATTTACTTTGCATCAGCACTTCATTAATGCTATATCATAAACATACTTAACCCGCATATATACGTATATATGAGTATCATACATTACATGCAGCGTAACAAACGCGACATGATATATTTACTTACATGTATACATACAATATACCATGATATACAATATATGAGAAATTAGAAATATATATAAAACTTAGTAAACCCACCAAGTGTGTGGACCTGGGTTCATCAGTCCAGACACAGACCTCTGCAGAAGTAATACAGCTACATCTGCACAACAAATAAATTAATATATATATATATATACATACTGTGCAGACCAATCAAATTGCAGCAATATTACTACAAACAGAAACATTACGTTATTGCAGAGTAACCTAAAACATTTCTAAAATATGATAGTAACATACCGGTACTTGATTATCACACTGTGTGTCTTGTTGTTTGTATATCATGAACTTTCACATTTTGGACACGGAAACGACATTGTTGTGTTAAACCTTAGCATAAATTATCCCAGCTATGGTGTCTCTGAAAGGTGCTCACAGAATTGTGATCCAATTTTGGCAAATGTCATTTTTGACCACTTTTCAGCCAATTCTGCATGCATCATTATTGAGCTTGACATACAGCAAGTTTTTTGTATGTGGAACTACATGTAATGAGTTATGGGATATATTTATTTATCTTATCAGGCTAAGGCCTTTGACATTCACATACCCATATTTCTGGTGTTACTGCATTTTTGACATCTCCTCTGAAACTACAAGAACTATGAAGTTATGGTTGCTCATGCTATCGGCCTCTGGTTTCCCTGGTTAAGACTGCATTAGCTACAGGTTGCCATGATGCAGCTTGAATAATACCGACTGCAGCATTACACTACAAACACATTTATTGGCATACAACTATTGCAGTGAGAACCACTATTTTCAGTTTAACAAGGTCAGTGATGCCCTGGCTCTTCGTCTGTTTTTATGCTGTCCTGTCCATCCATCAGTTAGCCCTGAACATTTCTTTCTCCTCCAAACTTAAACATATTATCAATATCATATTCACATAGGTTTTACATGTCACTGGCTACTATGAAGTGAACTTTGATTTTGAATTATGAATTTTGCCAAAAATAATTTTGATTTATATAAATAAAAAAATAAAAAAATATATATGAAAGAAATTTGAATTTTTATACAATTTAAAATGCCCCAGACAGAATATTTTTCAGGCTGTACTTAAAGACATACAATTTATATCTCTGAACCTATCTACACCCATGATCTCCCTGACCACACACACCTATCTACCCCCAGGATCTCCCTGACCACACACACCTATCTACTCCCTGGATCTCCCTGACCACACACACCTATCTACTCCCTGGATCTCCCTGACCACACACACCTATCTACCCCCAGGATCTCCCTGACCACACACACCTATCTACTCCCAGGATCTCCCTGACCACACACACCTATCTACTCCCAGGATCTCCCTGACCACACACACCTATCTACTCCCAGGATCTCCCTGACCACACACGCCTATCTACTCCAAGGATCTCCCTTACAACACACACCTATCTACTCCAAGGATCTCCCTGACCACACATGCCTATCTACTCCCAGGATCTCCCTGACCACACACACCTATCTACTCCCTGGATCTCCCTGACCACACACGCCTATCTACTCCAAGGATCTCCCTGACCACAAACACCTATCTACTCCCTAGATCTCCCTGACCACACACGCCTATCTTCTCCAAGGATCTCCCTGACCACACGCCTATCTACTCCAAGGATCTCCCTGACAACACACACCTATCTACTCCCAGGATCTCCCTGACCACACACGCCTATCTACTCCAAGGATCTCCCTTACAACACACACCTATCTACTCCAAGGATCTCCCTGACCACACACGCCTATCTACTCCCAGGATCTCCCTGACCACACACACCTATCTACTCCCTGGATCTCCCTGACCACACACACCTATCTACTCCAAGGATCTCCCTGACAACACACGCCTATCTACTCCAAGGATCTCCCTGACCACAAACACCTATCTACTCCAAGGATCTCCCTGACAACACACGCCTATCTACTCCCTGGATCTCCCTGACCACACACGCCTATCTACTCCAAGGATCTCCCTGACCACACGCCTATCTACTCCAAGGATCTCCCTGACAACACACACCTATCTACTCCAAGGATCTCCCTGACCACACACGCCTATCTACTCCCAGGATCTCCCTGACCACACACACCTATCTACTCCAAGGATCTCCCTGACAACACACACCTATCTACTCCAAGGATCTCCCTGACAACACACACCTATCTACTCCAAGGATCTCCCTGACAACACACACCTATCTACTCCAAGGATCTCCCTGATCACACACACCTATCTACTCCCTGGATCTCCCTGACCACACGCCTATCTACTCCAAGGATCTCCCTGACAACACACACCTATCTACTCCCAGGATCTCCCTGACAACACACACCTATCTACTCCAAGGATCTCCCTGACAACACACACCTATCTACTCCAAGGATCTCCCTGACCACACACACCTATCTACTCCCTGGATCTCCCTGACCACACACGCCTATCTACTCCAAGGATCTCCCTGACAACACACACCTATCTACTCCAAGGATCTCCCTGACAACACACACCTATCTACTCCGAGGATCTCCCTGACAACACACACCTATCTACTCCAAGGATCTCCCTGACAACACACACCTATCTACTCCAAGGATCTCCCTGACAACACACACCTGTCTACTCCCAGGATCTCCCTGACCATCACATACCTATCTTCTCTCATTGTACCCATGTCGGGAATCGAACCCGGGTCTTCGGCGTGACGAGCGAACGCTTCAACCACTAGGCCCCCCGACCGCCCCTTAAAAGTACGTATTTTGAGGTCTGTATTTGCATCAACCCAAACGAATCTTAAAAGCGCTATCGAGGAGGCGTGATTGAATGAGCACGACCGGCTAGGTATGCAAGTTGATTGGGTAGTAGCACCAGCTGGGTACAGAATATACGCGATCGTTTCATTAGTTATTGGGAGACCTGTGTTGTATATATACTGAAAAGAAACGTCACCCAAAGTAACTTTGAATGAAAAGTTGTCTTTTTAATATCTGGGTAATTTTTGTCAAAGTTTCTAAAATTTAACATTACCTTGTCCGGAAAAATGAAATTTGATGATAAAAAACCCAAAGCAGATGACAATAAAACCGATCGCCCAAACGCATCGCCCAAGGGTCACCACCCGACGTCAGGATCGTCAGACTGTGCGACAGCATCTTCAAGATCGCTTTGTTACTGCTGCGGAAACTGCACGACAGACCATGGGGACACACCAGCGACACATTAGTGCGGACAACGTGCGTCGACGATTGACGAGCAGACACCTCCACTGTCACAGGTCACACCGAGGACCCATTCTGACACCACGTCTTTTGGTATGACGCGGCCGGGAATTGAACCCACGACATTCCGCTCTCCTGGCAGACGCTCTGTCCACGTGAAGGGGAGAGAATTATAGCTTTATATTGGTCATGGTGTTTTAGGCATTTGTTTTACACTTTTTTTTAGATCCAAGGACATAATTTGGTTCCCGGGTTATGTACTCAGTATTTCATCTTGTATACTGAACAGCATTGGAAACGCACCAGTAGAAAATAATGAAAATTTCAATGGCGTTTATGTGTAGCTGGAAAATAACATGGAATATTAAGCTGACAACATTGCAGATCATGCATACTGATGTTAAAGCGACCAAAAATAGATTGCCAGGAACGCTGAGGAACGTGAACGTGCCTTTTCAATTCTTTATTTCAGTATAAAGGCCATAGGCCCACGTACAAATACTCATTGAAAAATACAGTATGAGGCAGATGACAGAGGGTATTACGTGACAGTATTTCGGATTGCAAGTGCTTCAAGTATATACTTAACACAATTAGTTACAATACTAGTGCGGTTACAAGATAATAGTGTAATATATTTAAATAAAGTTGGATTGAAAGAGTAATAAATAGGTAAATACCGCATCTTCTACCGAAATTTACCATCAATGGCAACTCGCCAACTCTTAACAAACAAAACATACGTCTATAATGACGGCTTGTGATTTCACAGAGATACTTTTCAACTGTTAGCAATGACTTATATTCCTTATACATTGATAATTTACGTATTTCACAAACTTTACAATACCAGTCCTGTTGGTTAGTCTTTTAACCTTTGAATAAATGCATTAATAAAGACGTGCCTTGGGCATGATTCAAGTCGGTATTTCCAGTTGAGTTATCGCACAACGATTTTGGATGCCACCATTCGACAATCGTTCGACTGCAGAGAAGACATCAGCAAACAGGAACCACCAGGGATCGTCCACGTCCTGGCCAACGACGTGTCACGACGCCACGTCAAGATCGCCATATTGTTCGCAGACATCTTCGTGACAGAACGTTGCCAGTTGCCAGGACTGCAGCAACTGTCCACGGTCGACGAGGGGTCATCAGTGCAGACACTGTGCGAAGTGGTCTTCGTGCTGCTGGGTTGTGTGCTCGACGTCCTTACGTCGGACCCATCCTGACTGATAGACATCGAAATGAACGGCAGCGTTGGGCTGAACGTCATCGTCACTGGAGATTACAGCGATGGCATGGTGTCTTGTTCCCCGATGAGTCTCGTTTTCATCTTCGTTATGCTGATAGTCGGTTGAGAGTATGGCGTAGACGTGGATAACGTTATCATCCAGACTGTGTTGTACAGACTGATCGATGGTGTGGAGGCAGTGTCATGGTGTAGTTATCATCACAGGACCGATCTGCATGTGTGCCGTGGAAGAGTTAATGCCCTTTATTACCGTGACAACATCTTGCAGAATCACGCCATGCCCGTCTTCCGTATGCATCAGGATCTGCACACGTTCCAGCAAGACAACGCCAGGGTTCACACAGCTCGTGCCTCAACGCAGTATCTTGCCAGCAACAACATACCACTACTTCCATGGCCAGCACTGTCCCCAGATTTGTCTCCCATCCAGCATCGGTGGGATTACCTCGGTCAACGCATTTCACGTCGCCCACAGATTAACAACCTGAGAGAACTGGAAAACGCTCTGCAACAGGAATGGATTGCCATCCCCCAGAACATTATTTGAAGGCTGATCGGGTCAATGCGAAGGCGTTGCATGGCTTGTGTTGCTGCAAATGGTGGTCATACACGTTACTGACTTTTCATTTCGACCCCATGTGTCTTTCATACACAGATAAATTAAACCTGTTCGAAGACTGTGGATTCCAGTTTGTTTATGGTCTTTGTTGTTTATCCTTCTATCGATATTTAAGAAACCTTCATTGCCAGCTGGCATATATTTTCAAACGTCAGAACTTTTATGACTGGTGCGTTTCCAATGCTGTTCAGTATATTCATAAGATCTTTTGTGAAGGTTTATGTTTAAAGTGGGACTTTTGGATATTTTTATTCAAGTCGTTTCCACACTGCCTTGTCACGGGTTTTGGATACTATATTCGAAATTATCACAAATATTATGAATCGGTACTTAACATGCATTCGTAGTATGATTTTTATGTTAATATTTGACATCAGTATTCACTACACGAACGCACAATTGTATATTTTGGTTTTATTGTTTCCATTATGACTATAATAACGGTTGTAGGCCAGGGTACACACTTCATTCTATAAATTGTTAAAGTGAATGATTAATTTCAAACAAATTGAGTTAGTTGTGCAGTTAAGTTATTTTTCAAGTGGAATGTGTTATCGTATGAAGGCGTTTACGCTGACGTGGTTGATGCACGTCATCGTATTCCAATTGCGTGGATAGATGCCCATGATGTCAATCACTGGATTGTCAGGTCCAGACTCAATTATTTACAGACCGCCGTCATATAGCTGGAATATTGCTGAGTTCGGTGTTGAACAACAAAAACAGCAACAGCAAACATGTAGTTATAGTCTTCAATATGAATGTACGCTGTGGCAACAAAAATACATGTAAAAAATAAAAATGATGAAACCCTTTCTATGATCATGAGAAAGCTTGCTGAAAGCATATTCCATTGTATCGAATAGTGATGGTGCCAGGTGTGAGTTCTTGCCCAAACGGTGGCACCCATCACAAACACATGCAAAGGCAAGTCAATTGTCCGCCTGAAAAAAACCACAGGAAAATATGCTACAATCAATACAACTGAATTGTATGTGACATCATTTTGGTCACTCAAGCGTCATATTTGGACATGTCCTCCACATATCTACCGCACAACTTTACTGGGGAACATCCTCGAAAAGAAATCATGCTTCAGAGAGTTCAAAAGAAATTGTCTGCCACAAAATCACTTTGTGTAATGTGCTTTTATTGAAAACATTTTCAGGCTCAGAGTTTTAATCTACAAAAATATGGTTTTACAGCTGTACCTGAAAAGATATCTTATCCCCATACAAAATTCCAGAGACAGACACGCTCACGCTCACGCACACGCACACGCACACACCACACACGCGCATGTACGTCGCTATATAAGTACACTAATCTCTTGACGCGACGTTAAGGGGTATACAGGAATGGGTGATGTCCGTCCGTCACGTTTCCTGTGCAGAACTCAAAAACCGTGAGATATCTTAACCAAACATGGCACACAGATAGGTCTAGTGGTCAACTGGTGCCTTTTAATTGATAGTTTGGGATTTTTGAAAAATGTATTTTTCGAATTTCCACGGCAACGACTTTGAATTAGACTGAAAATAGCGATAGTGCTCGTTTTCGGAGGGCTAATGCCTTGCACACAAACCGGACATGTCATACTGGCGATAGTATAAGTAGTTCATGCTTGTTTGGTTACTGCTTCCATAACACACGTTTAGGATATCCAGAATGTCTAGCAAACACTTGGTACCTTAGGCCAATGGTTTTCATGAAACATTTTATTCATGATATTTCATGATGAACCATGTTTTGATTGTAAATGGAGGCCAATGTTTTTTCTTCATAAACAAAATAAATAGTCTATTCATACGGAAAATACAAGCGACTCAACCTGTCCATAAACACAATACTGAAAGCAGTCTAGCGCACGATTCCGACCACATCTTAAGTATGCGCTGAATGCTGGACTACACCATTGATAACTTCCGTGTAAAATTTGGGGATTAGTCATCTAGGCGAGAAGTAGGCATTCCCATGGGCATCAATTGTTCACCCTCCTTGCTGATCTGTTTCTCATGCATATGAATCGGAATTTCTGCTCGGACTGGCAATATCAAAACAATGTAATTTGGTCGAGAAGGTTACCTTAAGCTACGTGTATATCAATGATCTGATATCGTTCAGTTATGGTCAAATAGCCAAGTCTCTACCACTGATTAACCACCTGAACTAGAAATATAAGTGAACAGTGGAAACCTTAGATTTATGCATAAAGATTCAGAGTGACAAAAATCTATCCGCAACACTGTATGACAAGTCCGATGGCTTCAACTTTCCAATATTCAACTTTCCCTGTCGAAAAATTTGGGGTGTGGGGGTGGCTGTGCAGTGTTGCGTCCCTTGGGCACGCCAGAATCCTATGATTGTGGGTTCGAATCCCGGTTCGCCCCAGTTATGTTTCTAGGTTTGTCAGCACCATACCCGTGCTCGTGGGTTTCACCGAAGTGGTAAACGTCTGAGAACTGCATCACTTCGGGCTTTCCTCCAACATTAAGCTGACACGCCCCGATATAACTGTAATACTGTTAAAAGCGGCGTTAAACCCAACTCACTAGCCCATCGCAAACACTTCACGAGGAGGGAGGCACTATTTTCCTCCATCATCCGTGAATACACCGGGCAGTGGTTGGGTAGTGAGATCAGTAGGCCATAAATGGTCATTTCATCAGGTGACTCACCCAATGAAATGAGCCCATTTATGACCCACGGATGTCAAATGAGACCTACTTCGTGCATGAACTTTGTGCGAATCCTACCGCAGACCATTTCCCCGAGGCAAGAGAGTCCACTAGCCTCCACATTTCACAAGACTTCAAAGAACATCATACAACTCTTGCTCGGAAATGTTTGATCAAGGTTACAACACTCAAGGCATCATATCAATTCTTTATTCATGTACATGTGTAGGCCAGTGGCCCATGGTACAATATTTAATCCATCATTAACATTTATAGGCTTAGTGTTTGGAGTCTAACATTCATAGCATGGTATATAAAAGTTGCAACATTTCTAATAACAGTTTCATTGTTTACCGCCATAAGCATATTGAATTTAGCAAGAGTAGGATGTACAAAATACTTCTGTGGTAAATACTGAAGACGAAGTTCATCATAAGCGTTACAAATTAATAAAAAATGATATTCCTTCTCGACATATCTTTGGTTGCACCTATTGCACAATCTCTGCTCTCGTGGAGTATTAACGTATCTACCAGTCTCAATGTGGAGAGTGTGGGAGCTACAGCGAAACTGGGCTAGTGCAACGCGAAATTTGTTGATAGTGATAGCAGACAAATACAACTCTAGACGAAATGATTTTTTCAAAAGTGTATAATGGAACATTTTAGAACTATTTGCTAAAGACTAATGCCAATCCTGTTCGTAAGCAAATTTTAACCGATCTTCACATTCGGAAATAAATGATTCGGGGCAAATAACATATTGGTTCTCCCATATATATCCGAATCCAATGCTGTATAAAAGAGTTTTGACTTCTGTAGCCCAATTAGTTTTACCATGTTTGGCTCGCTGAAATAACATATCATAACTTTTCTTAGGATATCGTGAATGAAGGCATCAGTAAAGCATCAGTAAAGCTTTCAAAACGTTTTAGCGTAGGCATGTGGGGGACATTTCCAAATGTGACGCAGCAGTGACAAAAATGATGTCCGATGCAATTCCCTATTTTGACTTATACCACATGTTCCCGTGTTTTTTTAGGTGAACAATTGACTTGCCTTCGCATGTGTTTGTGACGGTTGCCACTGAGACTGGTTACGCTCACCTTTTCGCGAACACCTGGTATCATTACTATTTGATAGTGATTCATAAACACATGCTCATGATATAAAGTAGGAATCGTACAATCGACTCTGCTTTGTGCAGAGATTTCTATCGGATATGGAAAGGGTTTTGTCGATTTAATTGATGTGATGTAGGATAGTGGACACTCGAGCCTCGGGATCGTGATCATTGCCTCACATTGAAGCAATGTGTAAAGCAGACGGACACAACGCAATGGCAAATGTCGCACACGATATCAAGCGAGAAATATTTGTGAATTGTAAATTGTAAAGTAAATTGAGCGTTCATTTGTCTGAATAATAGCTGGTCTCCCTCTTGCCGGACAAGGCTGTCGTTTGAGTGGTTGGTTAAATATAGCGACTACCTTGCAAAGCGGTCATGTGGATTCGTTGGTGGTAGAGACACGTAGGGTATACATGCCATTGAAAACAGAATCTAGAAGAAATGTGTCGATCTTGTGACTTATATTATAGCTTCAGCATCAGGGGATGGATGTCCATGACATTCGTCCCTGTATGCCCAATTTTAATGTGATTGGGCCCATTTCGGACTAAGCGAAACAGATTATAAGAGTCATTATTCCACAAGAACTCGTCCAGCGATATTCTCTCCACAGCCAGGATATTGGTAAAATATTGTTTCCTACAATAAGGTTTTGAACCCAGGGCCAGTTGTCAGCCGTTATGGACATTTTCTTGACCTCCAGGTATTCAAAGACCGACTCGGGAACCTGGTCTGTAATTCCGAATCTATTGAAAAGATGCTTGCACTGGCTGGCATTAGTGGTGCTGACGGAAGTTGGACCGCTGGCAATGAATTCAAGGGGGTCTCCAATCACATCAGACAGGATGAGAGATATCACCTGCAACATTCACATCAATATGTCAACACAACAATTATTGTTATAACCTTCAATAAATGTATTTGTAGGTGATAAACATTCAATCTATGTTGTGATATGTTAAGCTGATAACATGAATTCTTTTCAAGTTCATATAAGGGGCACTGGTGGCACAGTCGTCTAAGGCGCCGCGATTCGCTGTGCAGAGTTGCGTCCCCTGGGCACCCCAGAAACCTATGATTGTGGTTCGAATCCCGGTTCGCCCCGATTGTGTTTCTAGGTTTGTCAGCACCATACCCGTGTTCGTGGGTTTCACCAAGTGGTAAACGTCCGAGACCTGCATCACTTCGGGCTTTCCCCCCACACGCCATAATATAACTGTAATGCTGTTTAAAGCGGCGTTAAACCGGAATCACTCAAGTTCATATAATGTACAATTTATGGTAATACGGTATATTATAAAGAATGTTTCCAAACTATGGCGCCGGGCTTGAAGGTACATCAATACCACCTGCACTTTACTTTACGTCATCGGAACAATGCTGTACACCATAAATGACTAGTGGTGGAAGTCACCGAGGAAGGGAAATATGTCTTTCGTAAATCAATCCATTTTACCACGTGGAATACCAAGAATATTAATTTTAAATGTTACGTAAACATGTGCAGTGTGACAGAACAATACAATGTTATACAGATCCATATAAATGCTGATATAAGTACTTGTGTTGGTGAAACGTCATAATTGGTTAGGGGGATGTCGTCTGAGGCGCCGTAATTAGCTGATCAGAATCTGATAATCGTGGGTTCGAATCCCAGATTAGTTCAGTATAACATCTACCCTCGTAATTCACCAAAGAGGTTTGTGTCTGAGACCTGCATCATTTCTGGCGTTCCTCCCACAGCAGGCTGACACGCCATGACATTGTAGTAACTGAAATATTGTTCCAAATGATGTTATTGCATTACACTAACTCACTCAGGTCAACTGATTAATGAGTGAGTGAGTATGGTTTTACGCCGCTTTAAGCAATATTCCAGCAATATCACGGTGTGGGACACGAGAAATGGGCTTCACACAATGTACCCATGTCGGGAATCGAACCCGGGTCTTCGGCGTGACGAGCGAACGCTTTAACCACTAGGCTACCCGACCGCCCTCAACGGATTAATTATTGAAGACACTCACTGAGGCTGGTCTGGCTTTCAGAGCAAGTCCTCCTCCTTTGAGAACCTCGATGTTGGAGCGGACGAGGTTGAGCTCCTGAATGGTCGCCCCCTTCTCTGACAACAAACATGTCAGCTGCCGTTCCTCCTCGAGGGTTATAGGTGGACACGGGGTCGGCAGAAGGGCTGACCCGCCACCTACAAATCGACCAATCAGCCAAAAAGATATTTGTATGCGTACAAACCTTTAACATCATTTCGATTGGGAGGATCAATATGACAACGCAAAGAATGAATTCGTCTCTACAAATGAGAACGATGAATTGCAAAATAACTCGAAATCCAGAAAAGTGTATAAAACATCAATTCGGTACTTGACCATGAATACCCTGTACCCAACAAAATCTGAATTTTGTTTAATTTAAGACCCATGACGGATGAAGTTCTTTAAGAAACTATCATGTAATTTTGTATAGAAATGTGTACATGGCACGTAGTGGGAACAAACCTATATAAACCTGTATAAGGCTGTGGTGTTAATGAATGAGGCTGGGATATCACAGTTTGGACCAAGCAAATCAAAGACAAAAAACATGAGCAACGATCTTTGCCATCGACCAATGAAGACATAATCAGCCGACCGCCTCCGTGGTCTAGTGTTAGAGCGTCCGCCCGGAGAGCGGAAGGTCCGGGGTACGATCCCCGGCTGCGTCATACCAAAAGACGTTAAAAGATGGGGCTAAAACAAGGACTGGTCGGTATACTGTGTCTGAGTGGGGTATTCATGTTAAACTGCGGCATGGTATCTCAGTGAGCTAGCACTATAAATCGGCATCAGTCCGGACTAGTACAAGCAGCCACACAAACACATACACGTACATGCACGTCGCTATATAAGTGCAATGATCTTGGACGCGACGTTAAACCCCATTTCACCTCACCACATAATCAGCCAGTTCATTCGGCCCTTGCGACAGATAATAGGGGAGTACTTTTGATAACTCACCTGTTATAAGCACAATCAGAATGTCATCCTTTCCCAATGCTGACACCAGTTTGTGGATTTCTTCAGCAGCCTTGAGAGAGTCCTCATCTGGGAGGTTATCCTTGGCTCCCTCGTACACTCCAACAGCATGTCACTGGGCAGAACAAGCACTCGGTCAGGAAGTTTGTTTGTTTGTTTCTTGTTTAACGCCGCACTCAGCAATATTCCAGCGATATGATAACAGTCTGTAAACAAGAGTTTGCCACTAACGTGGCTATATTCCCCGCCCCTGTTGCAGAATTTATGACATAATTAAATCTAAAAAAACCTAACCTTTTTTAACCGAGGTGGAACTTGTCATGGAAATTGTAATAAAAAAAGAAGAGTTTGGAACCTATGTCCATCTAGTTGCCATGGATACGTAAAAAATAAAAAATTCTAAAATAAAAGGCACCAGTTCACTTTGTTGGGCGGGGAATAATAATAGAGTCTTGCCCGGATAATCTAGTGATTGACATTATGAGCATCGACATACGCATGCATCCGATGACATGCATCAACCAATTCTGCGAGTCTGGCCACCCGATCCCGTTAGTCGCCTCTTACGAGAAGCATGGTCGCTTTTTACGTCAAGCATGGCTGCTGAAGACCTATTCTACATCGGATCTTCACGGGTCAGTCAGGACGTGATGATTTGGTTTGGTTTGTATGTTGTTTAACGCCGCACGCAACGATATTCCAGCTATATGATCGCGGTCTGTAAATAATCGAGTCTGGGCCAGACAATCCAGTGATTGATATCATGAGCATCGATCCATGCAATTCGGATACGATGACATGCACCAACCAAGTCAGCGAGCCTGACCACCCGATCCCGTTAGTCGCCTCTTTCGACAAGCATAGTCGCCTTTTACGGTAGCATGGATTGCTGAAGACCTATTCTACCCCGGATCTTCACGGGTCAGTCAGGACGGGATAGATGATCATGCATTGGCGTTAACGTTTCTACTCAGACAGTGCGTGATCGTCTACGTGAGGCTGGTCTCCAGTCACGGAGGGCATGCATTCGCATCCCACTGTCCCGACATCACAGGCAGGCAAGTTATAAGACCGTTATTTAGACTAGGACTCAGTAAACCAGACGTAAAGGGATAAGAATGTCCTTGAAAGAATAATTTACGTGACAGCGCATTTGGTAAACTACAAAGAAAGCACTGTAGATAGAGTAAAAATAGATAGGATTACTATTGAATCAGTTTTTGGAAAGTGAATAATTCGTACATTTTTATTTAGTTGTTAAATTTTCTATAGATAATAATATGGAGGGCTTTGTGCAAAAATCCAGTCTAAAGTCACGCTGATTATAAAATGCAAATGTTCCCTGAACACACCACCAAGGATTCGAACATGTTGTTATCTTGATAGTTTTGTATTGTATGTAAATGAAATTAAATCAAGTTTATGAGCCATTTTAGAGACATAATGAGTTGTAGCATATCACGTTAATTACTACATGAAAACACGAGTCCTTGGATTCAAGCTGTAGGTCAGTTAATCACAGTCAACTTCTCAATTTTGACGTAACAACCCTCATCATATTCAAATATGGACCAATTATCGTGAGCAGCGTCCTACCAATTGGGATCACGAAGCTCCTAACAAATCCGTACAACAATAGATATTCATCCATTGAAACAATGGCGCTCTCCTTCTTGCAGATCTGTTTCTTTGTGCATATGAATCGGGATTTCTGCTCGGGTTTGAAAAGTCAAAACAAGGTAATTTGGACAAGAAGTTTGACTTCAGCTTCAGGCATTTCAAATGTTAGGTTTTAAAGTGTCTACGTGAGTGAGTAAGTAGGGATTGTATGCCGACTACAGCAATATTCCTTATACAGTGAGTGAGTGAGTTGGGTTTAACGCCGCTTTTAACAGTATTACAGTTATATCACGGCGTGTCAGCTTAATGTGGGAGGAAAGACAGAGCTGATGCAGGTCTCAGATTTTTATTACTTCGGTGAAACCCACGAGCACGGGTATGGTGCTGACAAACCTAGAAACATAACTGGGGCGAACCGGGATTCGAACCCAAAATCATAGGATTCTGGCGTGCCCAAGGGACGCAAATCCGCACAGCGAATCGCGGCGCCTTAGACGATTGGGCCACCCGTGCCCCCTCCATGTAGGGGAATGTTTTGCTCGTGCAGTGATGTATAAGTTTCCGGTCTCTACTTCAAAGCATACAATTTTTATCTTTGAAAGGAACGAGTATTTTTTCACTACAAATATCTATCAGGACATCCAGTGAAAGTTTTTTGTTTTGCTTTTTAAAATCCCAGGCAACAGTATTATTTTCCATTACTGTCTGGAAGAAATAATATTAATGCAATAACGTTTAACCCCCCACGACCCCTCCCCTCTCCACACAACCCCCACAAGAACACAGAATATCAAATGATCGATCCCTTACTATTTCTTGAGCTGCTTGAACTGCTCCGTTGCCCCCATGGGAATGCTTATAATGCCCTTCACGATGTGATCACCCAGCATTTCCTCCACAACTCGCGCCATACCGCTGACCGCTTTACCAAAGCCAACAACAAACACATTCTTCTGCAGCTGATACTCCTTGCCCCCCACACACAGAGTCCTCGTCTCCTTTCTGTACGTCACTTCTCTCTCCAGCATCGGTCTCGGCATCACCGACTCAACAGCAGCCTGGAATATTTGTCTCGCATCACCTTCCATTGCTTCTCCTGGATCAGCTTCCCAAAAAAGGATGCGTGTCGAAGAAGTACTTGTCGTTTAGTGAAATAGTTGGTTTTAACAAACACTTTCCTGACAATGTCAATTTTACGTTTCAGGAAAAGGGCTTTGTGCTGTACTTTCCTTGTGACCAACCGCTTTGGCGATACATCAACCACTGTAAAAGAAATTATTTGGTTTCAGGTTTCTGCACACGGACCGTTGTGCTCAAACGTCAACCAGCAAGTATTTATGACAGTTGACATGGAGCAGAAAACGTGTTTTGAAACCAAAGTTGCACTAATTACTAATTTGGTCACAAGCGTGGTTGTGGTTTTAGGGAGGGGGTCATGGCGATAATGCACATAGAGAAATGGCAAAAGATATATACTCTTAAAAAAAAGAAACTTGACACTGACTTTCAAAATGTAATATAATGCGATTGTTTCAAAATAGGACACAGAAACCATAATTGAAACACTGTTTGAAGATCAATGTACACAATGTTCAAAACATTAATCGTGTCACCTAGACAGACACACGTACACGATACAGTTAATGTCACAGGGGTACAGAAAATGTCAGTATCGGTTGTGCCTACCACGTGCATCAATCACCGCTTGACACCGACGACCCATAGATGCAATCTAGTTGTCAATAACACGCTATTGGATGTGCTGCCATTCATGCTGAAGTGCATCAAGAAGCGCCGGAAGTGTTTGGGGAGGTGGATTCCTTCTGCGAACGCGTCGATCCAACTCGTCCCACAGATGCTCAATCGGGGACAAATCTGGTGACCGGGCTGGCCAAGGTAATGTCTGGATGTTGTTGTGCTGTAAGAAGTCCTGACAAACACGAGCAATATGCGGTCGAGCGTTGTCCTGCTGGAACTGTCCGCCATGAACGTTGACGTGAAGTCTCTGTAACGCACACCCGTCAATGCACCTGCCACATGCACGAGAGGCGTCCTACCACCGTCATGAATTCCGGCCCATACCATGACACTCCCGCCGCCAAATGGGACAACCTGTAAAAGTCCAGCCTCCCTCAGTCTGTTGCGTACCGTTTGATCTGATATTCTGCGTACCCCAGGGATCTGTGTGGTTGTAGACGTGGCTGTGGTAGTGCGGTCTCGGAGGTGTCGCAGCCGGATGTATCTATCTTGTGCTTGGGTTGTCACCCTTGGTCTTCCTGACCTTGGTCTGTCGTCAACTTTGTTGGTGTTGTTGTATCGGGTCCACAGTGCGGAGATTGTCTGTCTGGATACGCCAAAGTGCCTGGCCACTTCTTGCTGAGTTGCTCCAGCTTGTAATCTCCAAATGGCGTTGTTCCGTTGAGCTGCATTCTTGGCATTCTGTCACCGCCTCTACTGCCGTTATAAGGACTGTATGAACAGCCGTTGATGTGGATTTTTATACTCATTCAGCAGAGGGGCCTGCATGCCTAAATGCAGGATCCTGTGCTGCACGTTTTTTACAGGCGGATGCGTTTGGATGAAGCTGTAAAATTAATCCCCAAACGCTACATTTATGTGCTTTGCATGTGTTTTCGCGAATTATAGACACATCATCTTTCTGTTTGACTTATTTGGTTCTCATTTAATCTAATTATTTTAGATATTTGGCAAAAAGTGGTTTTACATCTGTCAAGTTTCTTTTTTTGAAGAGTATATTTGTTTTTGGTTTTCTGCCCACGTACAACTAAGCTTAAACTGTGGTTGGGGTGTGAGATACATTTATATGTTCCAGTACTTTCAAGAATACTTTTCTCAAACAAAATACACTCTCTCAAAAAAGAAACGCAACCCATATATTTTCAAGATGTTTATATCAATATTCAAGTTATTATAACACATTTATTATTGAAGACAACAATATGAAATTTGGCATGGTGGCAGTACAGGTATGCAAGTTTAAGTCCAGACTTCGACAGTTCTCTCACTCAGATTGACTTGACGCAAGGGGGCGTCTTTCTCAGTACCTCGTATGAGCGCCACGAGCTGCGATCACAGCATTACACCTCCTAGGAACAGAACGGATTAGACGCCGGATTCTTTCATGAGGGATTGCTCTCCACTCCTCCTGCAGTGCAACGGCTAGTGCATCCAACGTCTGTGGCGGCGGTGTACGTGCACGTACTCGTCGGTCCAGATAATCCCAAAGATGTTCGATTGGGTTGATGTCTGGTGATCGGGAGGGCCATGGTAACACGTTGACGTTAGAATTCTGGAGAAAATTCACTGTTGCATGAGCAGTGTGCGGCCGGGCGTTGTCGTGTTGATAGAGCTCCCTCTGTTGGTCGATAATCGGCAGAAGATGAGGCTGTAAGACGTCATTGATATAGCGCTGGGCTGTCAAATTGCCACGAATGATCACCAAGTCTGATCTTTGGTTGTAAGACATGGCTCCCCACACCATGACGCTCCCTCCTCCAAATCTGTCGACCTGCCGAAACGTTCGAAACGTTGGGGCATAACGTTCGTTTCCTCTTCTAAAGACACGCTGTCTTCCGTCACGGCGTTGTAAGAGAAAACGTGATTCGTCACTAAACCAGACGCGCCTCCAGTTTCAGAGGGTCCATATCCGAACGTTGGTGCACCACCTGAGTCGTTGGCGTCGATGTTCGTGGCGTAAAACAGGTCCAATAAGTGGTCTTCTTGCACCTAGACCGGCCTCTCGTAGACGGTTCCTAATTGTTTGTGCGGACACTCTTCTCAAACCTGGCACCTGTGTTGCAGTGACGGTAGGTGTGGCTAGCCGATTACGTAGGTGGGTGACCCGGATGAATCGATCCTGAGGTGGTGTGGTAACCCTTGGCCTACCACTTCTGGGGCGATCTTCAGTTGCATGAAACTGGGTGTATCGGCTCCAAAGACGGGAAATCGTTGTTTTATGAACATTGAGGTGCCGGGCAACATTTCCAAAGCTTTGTCCGGCCTCAATACGACCAATGGCGATATTTCGATCTGCAGCACTCAACCGTGGCATGTTCTACCTCGTCTTTCGGTGAAAATGATAGAGTGAATCGCTAATCAACACGTGCTTTTATAAACCTATACTTCTACTGCTCTTTCCATGAATTGCACGTGCATGAAGCTTTGGGCATGGGCCACGTGAAAATTTTGTTCGCTATGATGAAAGTAACAATAAAATGCCCTTGTGCACGAAAATTGGTGTGTTTGGGCGCTTACGTTAATAAACAGTGTACATGGTATAAGTGCATATCAGAAAAATTGTATTTACAATCAATATTTTTCTTCTTGGGGTTTTCTCAATGATCAACAACTGTAAATGAATTTATGACATATACAAATTGTACAAAGAACATCTGATTTAACACACTTTCTATGATTTACTGAGTAAGTGAGTATGATTTTTCGCCTCTTTTAGCAATATTCCAGCAATATCATAACGGGGGACATCAGAAATGGGCTTCACGCAATTTACCCAAGTGGACACTATGACGGCGGTCCGTAAATAATCGAGTCTGTATAGACATCATGAGCATCGATCCACACAATTGGGATCGATTACACGCATCAACCAAGTCAGCGAGCCTGACCACCCGATCCCGTTAGTCGCCTCTTACGACAAGCATAGTCACCTTGGTAAGCATGAGTTGCTGAAGACCTATGCTACCCCGAATCTCGATAATTTTGCAACTCCGTGGGATGTTCTTCGCGTTATTTCGAACTTTCTTGTCGTTTTAGATGCATTAAATAGAAAAGGTACAACGGCAGCTTAGTCAAGCAACGAAACACTTGTTAACCTCTCACAGCTGTGTGTTGTAGCAATATACATGACTGGAGTGTTTCTCCATCTCATGGCAGCCATTTTGTAATTTACTCTGAGATGGCATTTTGCGCATACTATTCGGGAACTGTCCTAAGTTATCCTTGGTTAACACAGGTGGATTCAGGTTGAATCTGTTCAACCCTGATTACCAGAAATGTGGTAATCTCGGTTGACACAAATTTACTCAGATGTTGATAATCGAACGCACGCACTACATGTATTATGCTACATCGAATGGATTAGAGAATTAGGGTGAACCGACATGGTCATAAACATTTTGACAAGACGAGAAGTAGACAGCTTTGGCGATGGCAACGAAATGATGTGAGCGGTAATTTCCCACAATGGTAGAACAGATCTGCTGCAATGGCAGGGCAACTTAACGGGCGATCTATAGCCTATTTTTATGTTGTGTTGTAAAATGTTAATATATTTTTACATGCTCTCTGACTAGTTTTATGTAAATCTGTGAAATTCTAGTTATTATACTGCCGTTCGTCGGCAGAATTGTATACAGTTTACAATATATTGTTAATATAAGGGTAACGCTATTTTTCAGGGCATTATCATTTGCAGAAGCCCGAGGTCTTCCATTAACTGCCCGACGAAGGAGGGCAGTTGAAAAGACCGAGGGCTTCTGCAAATGATAATGCCCTGAAAAATAGCGTTACCGTTATTATAGCTAAAATGGATGGAATTTGTTATCAAATAAAAAGAAACAACAATGTCGATTTTGAAACATTTACTGCAATCAACACGAATGTCACTGACCCATTTTTACAAATATGGAAACGTCATAGAACAAACCAGATGACGTCACTATTGAACGTTACGTCACCTATCCCTATCCTATGACGTCACCTAACAACGGGCGTGATAATGGCCCGTCGTCAAGTAATATGAGGGCATTATCAAGTTACAGTGGCTCGCTCATTTCTGATAACATGCGGGCGTTTTTATGATAATTCTATCCATTTTAGCTATAATGTCAAATTTTGTTTCGTCACGATATGGCTGAAATATTGCCGATGTGACGTTAAACTTTAACTCACTCACTCACTCACTCACTCACTCACCCAACGCATCCGTATCCGGATCTAGAATCCTTATTCGATTTCACTTTCGATGTAATAAAGTATATGATTTTAGATGTCAGGGATTAATGAAGAAATTGGTGAAAAGGTTTCAAGCTAATTTTTTTGTGGCAAGTGGGATTTGTAGAGTC